ATACACTGCACATGCACAACCTGTTCTACCAGTGCCTAACTGCACAGAGCCATCAGTAAAGGCATAGGATTCAGTCGGTTTGAGAATTTGAAGATGACTGTCAATAGCTTCTAATGTTATACATCTCAAAATGTCAGTGTTATACATTTGTTTTACACTGATGGGAGTATAATGCAGAGAGACCTCCACATCTTTCCAAGGGGGAATATAGTGAACAGTTCTATCAGGGTTAAGAGATACATTCAGTTTCTGAAGATTATAGACACAACAACTGAGCCACACACTGTAGGGAGCTTTTTGCGGCGGATTGAGGGAACAGTCAGAATTGTTTAGAATGGATCTTAATTTAATTTGAATAGAGCTGGGGGGACCATTATTTTTCAAAGTTTTGGCGCAAAACATAGTACAAAGTAGAACTATTCTTTCGTAAATGGAAGGTAAGTTTAGTTCCTTTCTCATGTTAACAATTCTGACAGTTCTAGGACAACCCAGGATGATGCGCATGTCATCATTCTGTACTACATCTAGGCCTTGTAATTGTTTAGGAGAAAAATTAAGAAGATGCAAGGCATAATAATCAACAACAGATCGTATAAAGGCAATATAAAAACTACGAGCATATTTTATGTTAATGCCAAATCCTTTGCCAACAAGAGTTTTGAGAGGTTTAAGACGCTCAACTAGTTTTTTGCGCAGGTTGCTGACGAGATTTGTATCATTAACCTCGACTTCAAGATATTTATAAGACTCGCAAGTCTCCACGGGCACTCCATTAATAGTATAGTTAACATGAAGAGAATGGGGAATAAGAACCCTTGTTTTATCAACAGATATTATGAGGCCACATTCTACTACTTTCTTGGAGAATGCATCAAGTAACACTTGTAGCCTTGGTTTACTGTGTGCCATAATACAAATATCATCAGCATAACATATAACAGTTTCCGTAGGTTGTACAGGTATGTCATGGATAAGTTTGTGCATAAGTATATTGAAGAGCATAGGGCTTAGGACACCACCTTGAGGAGTGCCTAGTTCGAATGCATCTGTTCTTGTACTTTTAATTCCTTTAAATAGGACACTAGCACGCCTGTTGGATAGGTAGCTCTTTATCCAACTCAGAAGATTACCTTTGATTCCAAATTCAGCAAGTTGCTCTAATATTATTTCACCATTCGCTACATCGAAAGCTGACTTTAGGTCAATAAAGGCTGCCTGTGTCCCATCCTGGGAGTTTACAAAATATTCAGCAAAGCATGTTTGTGTGCTACACTTGGGCATGAACCCATATAGGTTTGGGGCCAGTTTTTCTTTGACCTGAAACATGACACGATTGAGAACAATTCTCTCCAAGACTTTACACATGCAAGATGTAAGGGAAATGGGTCTGAATTTTTGAGAGTTAGGTTTAGGAATTGGTATTATGAGACTTTGTGTCCATTTCTTTGGCAAGATACCTTGTGAGAGACTCATTTGATAGAGGTCAAGCAGAGGGTGGCTAGGGACATCATTCAGTAAGCTCAAGGTGTTATAAGTTATACCATCCTCACCAGGGGCAGTTTGCTTAGGTTTTCCTAATGCTGATGTTAATTCAAAGGGGGTTATAGGAAACTGATCTGTTAAATCTGGTGAGGAGCGTGCTATTTCAATATTAAAGTTTGTATCATCCACAAACATTGACATGTAGGATTCCACTCCTGTAAACATATCATTTACGTAAATTAGAAAGAGGATTGGGCCCAGCACCGATCCTTGAGGTACTCCGCTCGTTACTGTTCGCCAGTCCGACTTCTCGCCCCTTACCATTACCCTTTGGCTTCTTTCTGTTAGGTTGTTCCTTACCCATGCTCGGGCCTTTCCTCTTACTCCTGCCTACCTTTCAAGTTTGTATAGCAGTCTCATGTGCGGTACTGTATCAAAACTGTCTCGTTACCTCCTCTGCTGTCACCTCTATATCTGATAGTCTTTCATCTAGGGTAATCTCTTCTAACAATGGGAGCCGCTCAGGCTCGGTTGTGAACACTCCATGGAAACTTGCATTCAGTACCTCGCAGATTTCCTTGTCATTTTCTGTATATGCCCCTTCTGTTTTCCTCAGTCTTGTCACTTGATCATTTACCGACATCTTCCTTCTTATATGGCTATGTAGTAATTTAGGTTGCTTTTTCGCTTTGATTGCAATATCATTCTCATAATTTCTTTCCGACACTCGTCTTATGTTAATGTAATCGTTCCTAGCTCTGTTACATCTAATCCTGTTGTCCTCTGTCCTTTGTCTTCTGTACTTCCTCCACTCCCTCCTGCATCCTGACACTGTCTATTAAACCATGGGTTATTATATTTCCTCCTGCTTTTTTCCTTAACCGTTGGAATAAATCTCTCTTCAGCTTCCTTGCATTTGCATATGACTTGGTTCATCATACCTTGCATTGTTTTTCCTCTAATTTCTTCCTCCCACTGCACTCCTCCCAGGTAGTCCCTTATTTCCTGTAATCAACTCTCCTTTCCCGGACCTCTTGTCCTTTGGTCACAATTTTAAGTTCCATCATGTAGTCAAAGACTAGGACACAATGGTCACTGGCTCCTAGTGGTATTTCATGTTCCAAATGCTCGATGTCTTCTACATTCTGGGTGAAAATGAGGTCTAATAGGCTGGGCGTATCCCCTCCTCTTTCCCTAGTATCTTCCTTCGCATGCTTTGTTAGGAAATTCCTGTCAATAACGTCTACCAGCTTCGCTCCCCATGTCTCCCCGCCATGGGGATTCCCTGTTTCCCAATCTATCTCTCCATGATTTAGGTCCCCCATGACCAACAGCTTCGCTCTCATTCTATGCGCTATTGTTGCTGCTCTCTGCAGTTCACCTATACATGTCTTGTTGCTGTCCTCGTACTCCTGCCTGGGCCTTCTACTGTTTGGTGGGGGATTGTAGAGTATCAAGATTACAATCTTCTTCCCATCCACTGTCATAGTTCCATGTATGAAGCTCGTGCTTTCCTTGGTACCCGGATTTTCCAGCTCATCAAACTTCCATTTCCGCTTTATTAGGAGTGCCACTTCTCCTCCCTGTCTCTGTGTCCTTTCTTTTCTTATCACCTGGTATCCCTCTGGAAAGATTGCGTCCGAGATCATGCCATTTATTTTAGTTTCCACTATTGCCACTATGTGTGTGTGTGTGTGTGTGTGTGTGTGTGTGTGTGTGTGTGTGTGTGTGTGTGTGTGTGTGTGTGTGTGTGTGTGTGTGTGTGTGTGTGTGTGTGTGTGTGTGTGTGTACTCACCTATTTGTACTCGCCTATTTGTGCTTGCAGGATCGAGCATTGACTATTGGATCCCGCCTTTCCAGCTATCGGTTGTTTACAACAATGACTCCTGTCCCATTTCCCTATCATACCTAATTTTAAAAGTATGAATAGAGTTTGCTTCCACAACCTGTTCCCCAAGTGCATTCCATTTTTCCACTACTCTCACGCTAAAAGAAAACTTCCTAACATCTCTGTGACTCATCTGAGTTTCCAGTTTCCACCCATGCCCCCTCGTTCTGTTATTATTACGTGCGAACATTTCATCTATTTCCACTTTGTCAATTCCCTGAGTATCTTATATGTCCCTATCATATCTCCTCTCTCCCTTCTTTTCTCTAATGTCGTAAGGTTCAGTTCCTTCAGACGCTCTTCATATCCCATCCCTCGTAACTCTGGGACAAGCCTCGTCGCAAACCTCTGAACCTTCTCCAGTTTTCTTATGTGTTTCTTCAGGTGGGGGCTCCATGATGGCGCGGCATACTCTAAGACTGGTCTTACGTAGGCAGTGTAAAGCGCCCTAAAAGCCTCCTCATTTAGGTTTCTGAATGAAGTTCTAATTTTCGCCAGTGTAGAGTACGCTGCTGTCGTTATCCTATTTATATGTGCCTCAGGAGTTAGATTAGGTGTCACATCCACTCCCGGGTCTCTTTCTCGAATCGTTACAGGTAGGCAGTTCCCCTTCATTGTGTACTGTCTCTTTGGTCTCCTGTGTGTGTGTGTGTGTGTGTGTGTGTGTGTGTGTGTGTGTGTGTGTGTGTGTGTGTGTGTGTGTGTGTGTGTGTGTGTGTGTGTGTGTACTGGTGTGAACCTCCACGTAGCCTAATGAGGTTGGTCGACCTTTGTGAGAATTATTTCGCCCCTGACCAGATATAGGAGTCAGGTAAGTGAATTAAACCAAGCAGTAATTGTGACTAAGGAGAAGGGAAGCAGAGGGCAAGCATCTTAACGAGGTAAGATGAGATGTCGACAATATCTTACGACACGTGACGTGGGGTGCAAGTCTTAAGACCTCACTTGAGTTGTGAGAGTCGACGGAGAAAGACTTCCTTCGTTGCCTCGTAACGAAGAAGGAAGTTTGTAGCTCATAGTGAAGAATTGTTGAGAAACTACGTGACCAACGTGTGAGGAAGCTGTTGGAGGACGATGTGTGACATCTCTGTTATCGTGGTAACGACACAGGTGCGGCCTGAAGACCATTGGGTGGTCGTGCCTTTATGGACCCTACTGTGTGTACATCCTTTAAGTGGATATATTGGGCAGGTATTCTTGTGTGGCACCTGCTACGCGACTTCTCGCGCCTCCCCCTGCTGTACATATTCGCATGCTTCATGTAACTCAATGCTTCAGGATACACCAAGTATCTTTATGCTTTGCTATGCACCAAGTATATCTCTACTGCACGATGAACAATATCCTTTTTTCACCAAGCAGGGAACAATGTCGAGCCCCGCAGGTCCCTTAGTTCACACAACAGCTCAGCCTCAGTCAGACAGAGAGAGGGAGAGAGGTTTAGCCAAAGTTTGGCTCAGTGTACGCAACCCCTCACAAATCCACGGAGAGTAGTGTTCGTGTGGGGTACAACTGGCCTCGACCTGGGTTTAATCAAAGAGGCTTACCTGTATGTGTGTGTGGGGGGGGGAGGGGGGGGGGGACCGCCCGCGTGTTGTCTCTCTCAGTGTTATTCCGACGCTCGCTGGAGGAGGACGCCACGGTCTCTCCTCACCGTCCGTCTCTCTCTCTCTCACTCACTGCTCTTCGTATTTTGTGTTGCTTCTTGATACGCTGATGGAGCGCGCCATAATGGGGTTCGAGGTGTTGCCCCCTGTATCCAGATGGGTGACAGTCACAAAGATTTTAGAAGACAATGAAAAGTACAAGTGAATTTTTTTTTCGAAATAATTCCTTTCTAGAGCTGGTTAAGCGAGGAGATCTAATCTCCAAACTCTGTATTTTTCTTCGTGCTTACCACGTTACGAACTGTCAGTGAGTTAACACAGGACCAACGAACAGAGAAAGGCGAGGACACACAAGGCTATCAGCTCTCCACTGACACGGCAGCGCTGACAGCTGTAACCCCATCACGGTGTTCGGTGCTCACATGTGGGGCTTGACGTAGCGCGCCAAGCAAGAATCGGGTCGAGGATTATCTGGCCAGACTTGTACCTCCCTCGACCAACCAATGTAATTGCTAATTCTCTCGTCCTCTTCCCACGAGGAAAATGGCTTTTAGTTCATATTCAGGGTAATTAATCCCTTGGTACCCGCAGGCAAAGCCGGAGACTCGTCAGCTCGCTGTGGACGAGAGAGGAGGCGGGGAAGAAGGTTACTTCCTAAATGGGTACCTCATTAAAACTTTAAATTCATTCTCAAGTTCTCAAAATTCTTCATTTGCTTCTGGTAGGTTTTTATCAGTAGTGTGACTTTTGGCCTCAGGTTTCTGCGGAGGGATTGAAAATGCGATAATCGACTCATCACACTCATAAACGTGGTCAGGTCAAGAGTCAAAGCCGAGACCTCATCTGTGCGACCCTTGACCTCGTGTGACGACTTCTGGGCGACCCTTGACCTCGTGTGACGACTTCTGGGCGACCCTTGACCTCGTGTGACGACTTCTGGGCGACCCTTGACCTCGTGTGACGACTTCTGGGCGACCCTTGACCTCGTGTAACCTCCAGCAACATGTTGACCACATTTACGGCATAACTACAATAAGGTAAGAAACATATAGACTGATAATTACTATATAACCTGTAACACTTTCTGCGGTGCGGCGTTTTTTGTGTTAACATTGTAAATGCGTATTTATATTAATTGTTTTGTTATGCCAAGGCGAGACGGGGAGAGGACTTGATGTCCAAATAAACCTGCAAAAATGCCTAATAGTTTTCTTGTTTAACATTTAGGGGAGAGTGAAATGCAAAATATTAAGACAATAAATAATTTTCAGTATTATTTAGAGGTGAGGTAAGATGGAAAATGAAACAAAAGTATATACGGAAAAGACGAAAATTAAGAGTATCAGCGAAGTCCATAAGTCCCAATCGCAAGACACCACGTCTCTGTTGCGGTCACAAGACATCAGGTCCCAGTTATTAAGTTATCTTCACACATATGAAGAACCTCTCACACATTCACAGCTCCCTGACAAGAGAAAGCAAACTTAGCTTAGCTGCCAACACCCACACATCGTGTCAGCAAGGCGGACAGCCCGCCGCCTGCTTTCAGAACTCTCACTGTATTTCCCATTTCTGAACTTCCCTTCACCTATGTCTCTCCATCCTCTTTACTTCCCCAAAAAGAGGTCCCATTTCTAATCACTGAATCAGGTCCCAGTTCTAATCGCTGCATGAGGTCCCAATTCCAACCCCTGCCACCATTTATAACACTCTTCTTTGCTTATGTTTAAAACACTTTACTTTCGATATTTCACCATTAATAACACCACCCACTTGGCTATCATGTGGGTGGTGATACCGCCACCAGGTGAGCTGTTACGAATTATGACAAATTAAAGTTAGTGTAAGTCTAACTTACACTAACTTTATGGTAGTTCTTCTCCGGCCCCGTCCACGGCGGTCTCCGGGGCTGGAGGTCCCTGTGCCCTTCTTCACCACCTTCAAGGTCAACCCCGGAACTCACAGTTCCTACGACGGCGATGGAACCAATCGTATTGGCGTTCGCCCTTCCATTGGGGTCTTTCGGCGCCGTGGATAGGGGGGGACCTGCTGCCTGGGTAACAGCTTCTTCTCCATATCAACGTACCCTGGCTTTGCGCCCTAGTGAGGCCACTCCAGAGCGCAACACCGTAGCCTCCTGAGACTGATGAATGCCTACTACATTTAATGCTGCCACCACCTTCGCCTGGATGAAAATGAGTACTTGACGGTGGCTGACGCCGAATTACCTACAGGTGGTTGCAGGTAATGACTCCCCCAATGGAGAACCTTCAAGTTGTTAAGTATGTGAACAAGACCTGGAACATATTTTCCAACGCCAAATCTGTGATGTTACATGAATTTACCTGAAGGTCACTAACACACTATTGTGGCCTCGACGAGGACAGGAAACCAGCAGCTTGTCAAAGGTTCCATTATTTGTCCCGATGATTTTTACAGTTGGATTTTAGAGATCAGCAGAGTTTTGGCATTTAAGGCTACGACTGGTAGGCGGTTCCTGTGGGTGATAAAAGCTTCTCCTGTTTTCCTTCCTACATTGTGGCTTGTTGAGCTCCAAACCGTTGCTTCTTGTTTGTGTTACATCTGACTTTATAAAGAAACTGTCTGAATCAACGTCCTCCAAATTGTTCAGTATTTTAAAAGTTTCGATGACCGCCCTATCAATAATTTAAGACATAATGGTATGAATACTTTGAACTCTAACTGCTTCTCACACACATGAATACTGGAGGATATTCATGCGCTCTGCGTACACTTTGCTAGTGTAGGCTAGTAGATTAACCTCGCGCACTTCACCTTCTCTCCTGATTCCATGTATGGCTATCCTGCGAGATGGCTATATTAGATTAACTAGCAGCTAGTTTTATATATGCTATTTAATTTATGTAAAATAGGGTAGCAAAACATTGCTGTGTAAGTTTCTTAATATATTAAAAAACTAAAAATTGGTGTGTGTTTGTGTGTGTGATAATTGTTTTTCAACAAACTCCAAATGAGGCCTCAAGGATTAGAACCTTGGCCACCAGGTTAGGTCTAGAATTGCACCCACCCAGCTATCGATTACATAGAATGGTTATAGTACAAGACTGCTATCCTGACTGCCTAGGTTCAAATCCTTGGGGGAGTCATTCGCAGTTCTGTTGGGCAAACACTGATGCTTGGGGACCATTCACGCTAATATAAATATAAATTCAATTTGCCTTGCTTAACTGATGTGGCGAAATATTTTAGTGGTTGTTTTCTATAATGACTCACTACATCCGTTTTCTATTATACAATATTATATTTATTTATATAAATAAATAAAATAAATTTATGTTTATTTATAAGGTATTACATATTTTTACAAAGATTGGTTGACTTATATAGAGCTAATACAACAAGCCTAAAGTACAAAGCGTTTCGGGTTTATGAGAATACATAGCATGGTAATTTATAATCTTGTAAAGCCACTAGTACGCACAGCGTTTCGGGCAGGTCCTTACTCTAACAGATAATTTTAAGTAGGTAAATTCTAGCGGAATTAATAAAATGATAACAGATAAATTGCAAGAAAGAAAAAAAAATGAGATGAGAGAGTAGGTATATTAAAGCTCTGGTTGATTGCATTGACAGCTTGATTGGTAATTTAAACGAAGATTAAGTCTCTTAAGAGAAGATTAAGTCCCACTACACCAGTCTCCGTGGTGTAGTGGGAAGACACTCGCCTGGCGTTCCGCGAGTGCTTTGTCATGGGTTCGTATCCTGGCCGGGGAGGATTTACTGGGCGCAAATCCTTAACTGTAGCCTCTGTTTAACGCAACAGTAAAATGAGTACTTGGTTGTAACAACGATTCTTCGCGGCGGGGATCGTATTCCAGGGACCTGCCCGAAACGCTACGCGTACTAGTGGCTGTACAAGAATGTAACAACTCTTGTATATATCTAAAAAAAAAATAATAGGCACTATATAGCAAATTGAAGGCACATATAAGAAGACAGCAATGATCACAATGGTAAAGTTGTTTGGATTGGATACATGAAGATTGGGAGATTGGGTAGCACTAGATGCAGTGCAATTTTAAAGCAAACAAGGTAAAAAACTATGAAGATGAAATTAGGTACTTTTTAGTTTCGTTTTTGAATGACGCAAAAGTTGGACAGCTTTTCAATTCATTAGGGAGTGAGTTCCATAGACTAGGTCCCTTTATTTGCATAGTGTTTGCACAGATTAAGTTTGACTCTGGGGATATCAAAGAGATATTTATTTCTGGTGTGGTGATAATGGTTCCTATTACATCTGTCCAGGGAGAGTTTCAGAGCAGGATTTGTATTTAAGAACAGGGTTTTGTAAATGTAGTTGACACAAGAGAATGTGTGGAGTGAGATTATGTTTAACATGTTTAGGGAGTTAAACAAGGGAGCCGAGTGTTGCCTGAAAGCAGAATTTGTTATTTTTCTGATAGCAGAGTTTTGCTGGGTGATGATGGACCTGAGGTGGTTTGCAGAGTTTGAACCCCATGCACAGATACCATAATTAAGACAGGGATAGATTAGTGTATAACATAGTGAGATAAAAGCAGAGTTAGGTTCATAATATCTGATTTTGGAGAGTATTCCAACTGTTTTAGAGACTTTCTTAGTTATGTGTTGTATGTGGGTGCTGAAGTTGAGTCTCTTGTCTAGGAATAGATCAAGAAACTTTCCATCACATTCCAATTCACATATGTCGGGGAACAGGAAGCCAGTGTGCATTCATATACGTTTGGCTTTATTTTCCTGTTTCCTCCGTTCACTCTTTTACAGGAGGCATCTTAGACGGACATTGTCTCCTTCTTAAACGCTTGCTAGGTGAAGTGGTGTGGTACTGAGTAACGCCAGGCGGTGATCCACAGTAAAGCAGGTTCGAACCCTGGACGGGTCGTGGAGTTCCTACCTGACTTATGGCTTGGGGGACTATTCAAGCTTTCTTTCGTTATATGTGAGGTTCAGTCCCTGAGCCCATTATGTGCCTCTGTAACCCTTTCCACTACCTCCCTCAAGATGGGTATGGGGTACATAATAAATGAACTAAACTCTAATATATATATATATATATATATATATATATATATATATATATATATATATATATATATATATATATATATATATAGGACATATATATATATATATATATATATATGTACAAGACGCCTATATATATATATGTCGTACCTAATAGCCAGAACGCACTTCTCAGCCTACTATTCAAGGCCCGATTTGCCTAATAAGCCAAATTTTCATGAATTAATGTTTTTTCGTCTACCTAACCTACCTAACCTAACCTAACCTAGCTTTTTTTGGCTACCTAACCTAACCTTACCTATAAATATAGGTTAGGTTAGGTTAGGTAGGGTTGGTTAGGTATCGGTCATATATCTACGTTAATTTTAACTCCAATAAAAAAAAATTGACCTCATACATAGAGAAAAGGGTTGCTTTATCATTTATGGGTTCGAGTCACTTCTGGGGTGTGAGTTTTCAGTTGCATATTGTCCTGGGGACCATTCATAAGAAAAAAATTTGGTATAGTAAATATAATAATTCAGGAAAACTTGGCTTATTAGGCAAATCGGGCCTTGAATAGTAGGCTGAGAAGTGAGTTCTGGCTACTAGGTACGACATATATATATATATATATATATATATATATATATATATATATATATATATTGCCGGCATTGTTATCCTCGACCAGTGCTACAGGTGAATTAGTTAAGGAAATACTACCAGAATATCTTAGAGACTGCATTGGGATTCATGATCCCAAATTCGCGGAAGGAGCCGGTCAGTGGGACACTCTTGCCAACTCTCACACTCGACCAACTTTTCCAAATGACTGCAAACAGGCCAAATGCGATAGCCCCATAGTGGAAAACATCGTTACATCAATGCTGGAGGCAGCTTCTGGGAAGGACAGAGCGCGTCTTCTACCTGTGCAAGCTCCCCATGCTGGGAACTTCCTGTTGGCAGTCCCTAATTCCGCCTTGGGCACCCGCCTGGACCATCGGACCCT